AACTGGGGATGTCTCGTTTAATGAAAAGAAGGACTAGGGGACACATGATAGCTGTCAGCACTTCAACCTTCATTTACTCTAGTGCTGACATAAGGAGGAGAAGAGGGGCCAGCTGGCAAGAGGAAGCTTGACACTTCACCTACTTATTTTCCCTGAAGATAATATCCCTTAGGAGATGAGATAGGAGGGGGGACATTCCTGGGAGCTTAGGTAGTAGATATGGGGGGAGTGATTTGGAAGAAGGCCAATGAGATGCAAAGATTTGGGGAACGGAAAGGGAGGGTTTGGGGTCAGGAAGCCAGAGCTGGCTACGCCACGATCGGGGCCAGATCGTCGTGCTTAATAAAATGAAAGATTTCTTCAAAGACTATCTGTTTGGAAATGCAATTTATTTTATTTGAAGACGATATCGAAACCTGACAATAGCAGTCTTCCAATATCTCAGGGGCTGCCACAAAGAAGAGGGAGTCAAGCTATTCTCCAAAGCACCTGAAGGCAGGACAAGAAGCAACGGATGGAAACTAATCCAGGACAGAAGCAACTTAGAACTAAAGAGAAATTTCCTGACAGTTAGAACAATTAATCAGTGGAACTCCTTGCCTCCAGAAGTTGTGAATGCTCCAACACTGGAAGTTTTTAAGAAGAGACTGGATAACCATTTGTCTGAAGTGGTGTAGGGTTTCCTGCCTAAGCAGGGGGTTGGACTAGAAGACCTCCAAGGTCCCTTCCAACTTGTTATTCTGTATTCAGAATTGTTATCTGCCTGGCGATCATCTGAAGGATATATTTACTGATGATAGAAATATTACAGCTTTCATTTGCGGTATTTGTATTCCGTAATATTTGCGATAAGTTGTAATGTTTGTCGTTTTTACATAGGCTTCTTTACAGCGTATTATTTACAGGACGCTATTAATTATTAATATAAATTTGCATGTTATTAATAAGCATCTTATTACATTGCTACAGACATAATTTCTACCTCTATTCGTAATTGTTAAAGATGCTTATTATGGCACTTTGGTTATGGCGTATTATTAATTATTTATTATTAATGCACATTATTAACACACATATCGTTATACTGTTACAGGAATAATAACAACTTCTACCTATGATATTGATAATGATTACGGGTCCTTGTTATTACAGCAACGATTACAGATTCTTTTCTGGGTGGGTGTTTGATATTCTGTACTCAAAATGGCTTAATTTGTCCTCCATGTATGCCTGTTTGATGAAAGGAGCCAGGGGGTTCCTGGCAAGGGCATATAAATTTCTCCCCAGGGTTTGAGAAGGGTTGAAAGACATTGCTTCTTAGTTCCCAGTCGTGCTATTTAGTAGCAATACTTTATTTTTTTCCCTCTTTTATTAAATTTATGTAGCTGCCCATTTCATGCTGGTGACTCTGGGCGATGCACACAGTTGAAATAACAAAAGCCAAACCATCAAAATAATTAAAAACAAAACCATTAAAGTGCAATTAAAACAGCTGAAAACTATAATCACCCAAAATAGGCTAGCGTGTTACTCTGAGCCTACAAACGGTGCAACTGTCTAGAAGGCTTAACACTTCCATGGGTTTCCCCAGGTATGATGACAGAGCCTATTTTAAGGGTCTCTGGAAGACCCTTCCCCCCCCACACACACCCCAAAAAGAAAACATTTGGAGTCAATCTTGCCTTCTGAAAAATAATTAAGGATGTATCTGTAAAATTTCATTTTAAATCGTATTATATTCCAATTTCATTTTAAATTGTATTTTATCCAATTGCATTTTCAATTTTATCAGATTTTTGTAATAATTTGTGTCTGGAACTCTGCAGTTTGATATGGCCCAAGGGCTAATCAATAAACTAAACTGAAGTGAATGTGTAAGAGAAGGAGTGGCAGAACCTGGGGACAGAGTTAAAAGAGGAATCAGCCAAGAATTCCCTACGTAGTTACCAAGGAACCAACTCCAACCTCCCTTGAATCCCATTGACCTTTGTCTAACTCTAAGCTGTCAACTCGCAGAGCGTCCCTGGCCGGCTCTCGCGTTGCCATAGGCAAGGGGGATGGGAAAACGGTGGAGCAGCACGGCAGCCAAAAACAAAAGCACATCTCAGACATATCCCTCTCAAGGCTATCTCCCAGGGTTACCCACAGCGGCCGGAGGGGAGTGATCTCTACAACCCGCGAAATTGCTCCGTTGGCGAATGTGACTGATGACACACCCTGGGGGGAGGGGGGTAAACAAGCCTGGCCCATAATTTACATGGGGTCAGAGTTGGCTTCACTTGGAACATGCCGACATGAAGCTCCTAATAAATAACTGGATTTCTTTTGAAGCTTGGGTCAACGCTCATGATTTAATTAGGGAATCTGTCGGAATCCTGACATAAGCAAGTGCTAACTGTTAGCGGAGGAGAGTCCTGCGCTTGCAAATGTGGGCCTAAAGCAGGAAGTATCCAAGCAGAGGTGCACATCTGGCTGGGGAATTCTGGGAGTTGAAGTCCACGGGTGTGAACTCGGTCAAGGTTGGACACCCTTGTTCTCCAGCAAGCTGAGCGAAGGGGGAAAAAAAGCACTTTTTATAATGCGAGAAGCTTATTCCCAGCTCAGGCTAAGCTGGGCGGAAGGTGATTCAGTCAGAGAGAAATCAATTAAATTTAAATAGAGAGAAAGATTAGAAATCAGATGCCGCGTTTTCTTAATTATAGCACCTAATCATTGTGAAGGAACGGAGGGAAGGGGAAGAGAGAGGACCGAGTTCATTTCCTTCCCTCTCTACGTATATTGGTGGCTTGTAATGAGATGTCTGTAAGTAGTAATTCCCTCGGGGACTTTGTCAGAAGCTAAGAAATGCAATAATAATAACTCCCAATCAAGGCTGAGTCTAACAGGAACGTGGTCTACAGTAGTGGCCAAAATTGTGGAAACCTTTTGGGAAAAGTGTATTTTTGAGGTTTGCTGGCTAATAACTCCACTGTCAGCACTCCAGTGCTGACATAAGGAAGAGAAGAGGACGCTTGACTCTTCACCTACTTATTTTCCCTGAAGATATTATCCCCTAGGAGATGGGATGGGAGGGGGGACATTCCTGTGAGCTGAAGTAGTAGATATGGGGAGAGTGACTTGGAAGATGGCCAATGAGACGCAGAGAATTGGGGAACGGAACGGGAGGGTTTGGGGTCAGAAGGTCAGTGCTGACTACGATGGAGTCGGGGACAGATTGTTGTGCTCAATAAATGAAAGATTTCATCAAAGACTATTTGTTTGGAAATGCAATTTATTTGAGACGACATCGTAACCTGACGACCACATTCTTGGTTCAATGATCTTTCCATTGATATATCATTTTATGGTACTACTCCAAAGAAAAGTGGTGTTATTAGATAGTTTTAGAAAATACACTTTTCCCAAAAGGTTCCCACAATTTTGGCCACTACTGTATGTAACTTGGTTCCCACTGGAAAGAGGAAGAGGAGGAGGAGGAGGAAAAAGACTTTGGGGTCCTTGGTGCTCTCTGAGCTTGGCGGTTTTCTTGCAGACTTTTCATTAACCTACTAGGTAACATCATCAGTGCTACGCGGGAGTGGGGCCTGCAGAGAAGAGGAGGAGGAGGAGGAGGAGGAGGAGAAGGAGAAAGAGAAGGAGAAAGAGAAGGAGGAGGAGGAGGAGGAGGAGGAAAAGGAGGAGGAGAAGAAGGAGAGGGAGGAGAAGGAGGAGGAGGAGGAGGAGGAGGAGGAGGAGGAGGAGAAGGAGAAAGAGAAGGAGAAGGAGAAGGAGAAAGAGAAGGAGGAGAAGGAGGAGAAGGAGAAGGAGAAGGAGAAGGAGAAGGAGAAGAAGGAGGAGAAGGAGAAGGAGAAGGAGGAGGAGAAGGAGAAGGAGAAAGAGAAGGAGGAGGAGGAAAAGGAGGAAGAGAAGGAGAAGGAGAAGGAGGAGGAAGAGAAGGAGGAGGAGGAGGAGGAGGAGGAGGAGGAAGAGAAGGAGGAGGAGGAGGAGGAGGAGGAGGAGGAGGGAATTAAACACATACACAAACAATGAGAGGCATTTGTAGCTTACAAGGTCCCTGTAGTTTTAATTGTGCAACCAGACACGAGTGAGAAACACGCTCAAAGACAAAACACGACGAAACGTCTAAGCTAATCTTTTCACTGGAATGAGGTTACTTCGGGAACAAAGCAGCGAAGGAAATGACTCGAATTGCAATCAGCTTGCCTGCGATATAAATGACTTGGAATGGGGATCCAGTTCCAGGACAGGCAGCAGCCCCTTGTCTGAAATGGTATGGGGTCTCCTGTTTGAGCAGTGGGGTGGGCTAGAAGACCTCCAAGGTCCCTTCCACCTTTATTATTCTGCTCCAACTCTCTTTTCTTTTCCGTTTTTCTAAGGGAGGCTTTCAGAAAGCAGGAAGAGCAAGGACAAGAAAATCAAGAGCAAAAGTTTTCCTGGGGGTTAATTACACCTTTGTGCTGTTTTGATTGGATTTAACCTCAATCGACCTCGGTGTTCCTGGGAAGCCATGAAGCCCTTACAACATGGCACAAAGGAAACACACAGTGAGAGAAAGAAAGAAAGAAAGAAAGAAAGAAAGAAAGAAAGAAAGAAAGAAAGAAGGAGGAAGGAAGGAAGGAAGAAAAGGAGGGGGAGGGAAGCAGGGAGGCAGAGAAGCAGGGAGGAAAGAAGGAAAGATAGGAAGGAAGGAAGGAAAGAAAGAAAGAAAGAGAAAGAAAGAAAGAAAGAAACGAGGGAGGGAGGGGGAAGTAGGGAAGCAGGGAGGAAGGAAAGATAGGAAAGGAAGGAAGGAAGGAAAGGAAAGGAAGTAGGGAAGCAGGGAAGCAGGGAGGAAAGAAGGAAAGATAGGAAGGAAGGAAGGAAAAAAAGAAAGAAAGAGAAAGAAAGAAAGGAGGGAGAGAGGGGGAAGCAGGGAGGCAGGGAAGCAGGGAAGCAGGGAGGAAGGATGGAAAGATAGGAAGGGAGGGAGGGAGAAAGGGAGGGAGGGAGGGAGAAAAAGAAAGAAAGAAAGAAAGAAGAAAGAAAGAAAGAAAGAAAGAAAAGAAAGAAAGAAAGAAAGAAAGAAAGAAATACTTGCGGGACCGCCTACTACCACCAATAGCCTCCCACCGGCCGGTACGCTCTCATAGAGAGGGGCTCCTCCGGGTGCCGTCGGCCAAACAATGTCGACTGGTGGCCCCCAGGGGGAGAGCCTTCTCTGTGGGGGCACTTACTATCTGGAATGAGCTCCCCCCGGAGATACGGAGGATCCCGGATCTGCGCTGCATCAGGGAATAAAACCAGGGCAGGAACGGATTAAAAATGGAGAGGATTTTCCCTTTTCCCTATCTCTCTCCAGTAGAAATAAAATCAATAAAATCTTTCCAGATTTTTTAATTTTTTAAAAAAATATTATTATTATTATTATTATTCTGGCAACGGGGAAACGAAAGACAAGGGAAATGGGAAACTTTCCAGCGTCTTTGGCATTATCTAAAAATAACCAGTGCGTGACAGGCCCAGCTGTCCTGTGTCAGGGAACTGCTGGCACACGAAATTGAATCGAATACCTCAGCAAAGAGATTGCTGAGTCAGTCATCCATGCAGGCCGTCTACCACTAGTAGGTGCCACCACGGATTGCTTAATAAAGCGCAGTGGTTTTGGAATTAAGGCTGTAAGCTACGATTGAGAACCCACGAATCCTGGGTTGAGATAAATACACAGAGCAACGCCCCAGCAAACCACATTGTCAAGGAGGGTTAAGCTCCCCGGTCCAATCCAGGGCTGAAGTTCATTATGTGAACACAATTGATGTAACGGTAACGGTAACGGAGTTGGAAGGGGCCTTGGAGGTCATCTAGTCCAACCCCCCTGCTCAGACCTGTACTAGGGATTCGAACCGCCGAACTGCAGACCTTTTTGATCGACATGCACGACAATCAGCTGGCCTTCGTGTGTGCAGCAGTGCCGAAAACTGGAAGAGCTGGTCTTCCGTTTTCCTGGATGAGAATATGCACCGGCTAGCTGATTGTCATGTGCGCATTCGTGCCAGAAACCCTGAAGACTAGCTGGCCAGTGCATATTTTTGCACGCCAGAAACTGGAAATTCATTTTTGGGTGCGCGCATATGCGCCCTGGGCAATTTCTCTTCTGGGTTGCGGCCCAGACGAGTGTGCGCGCGCATGCTCCCTTTCCGGCACTCGGTGCCAAAAAGGTTCTCCATCACTGGTATATACTCTAAGCTCTTTTGTTCTAAGTTGAATTCCCTGTTTCCTGTTACAGTTAAAATAGTTGAGCAGTAAAGCACATGGTGACTGTACCCTTTGTTTGCTCTGTGGTGCTTTATATAAAACAGAATTTCTAACAATACAAGACAGTTGTTGGCTCTCCTGCCTGGTCCTTCTCCCAGGAAAATATCCACTGTGGGCTAAGCTTTCGGATAGTTTGCAAGCCAACTATTTGGAGAGCTTGCCTCCAAATCTGAAATCAGGTAGATATTCCAAGGAAGAAAACAGGCAGGAATACATTTCAAAACATCTTTAGATGCAAACCGTCCTCAGCGAGGGAAGTTTATTCTGGTTCACAGGTAGCTGCGCAAAATGTTTTAAGCGACGTATGATTACTGCCTCCAATTATTTTCATCAGGCAGAAAGAAATCTCCCATGGAAAGGGCTCCTTAATCTTCTTATCACATAAAACCCATAAGTGCAATTACATCAGAATCTCCGGCTCTTTAAGCACGATATCTATCAAGCAATCACAGATTCCATAATAGCTTCTTCAACTCTTTCCTTTCACTTATGTGCAGTAAATCTTTTTTTTTTTTTAATAACATGTCTCTCACTTTGCTTGCATCCGGGCGCAAAATTAACAAGGGAAGAAAGCAGGGCAGTTCTAGAAGTTCAAGAAAATGACCTTGATGGAGAAAACTGGGAACCTGTTGTGACCTAGGCCCAAGTAGTTACTACCAGACGCAATCAGTCCTAAACGAGGGTATTTTATTAGAACAGCGGAGAATTCCTTCATTCTCAGCTTAGTCCAAATTAATTCCAAAGCAAATTCTTCATAAACAGTCCTTCGGCCTTATCACCAACCTTTGTCTTCTTTGGCACCCTGCCAAAGGCTTTTCTTGGCAAAACCCCTCGAAGTTCAGAAGCAAGAGACACGACAAGAAACAAATGTAGCAACGTTGCTTTCCTACAAAGAGCCCAAGAGCCGTTGCTGCTCTTTTAAGCCTTCTGGGAGGGGGCCAATCATCTCCTGGCCTTACTCCTGAGTTGTCCTTTTTGCTTTAGCTGCTCTTGCCTTCTGGCAGCTCTTTGCATACGTGCACTAGGAACAGGCTCCTCCTGTTCCTCTGCCTCCCTGCTATCTGACTCTGGAGGTTCCGGAGTCCACGCATCGCTCCCAGATGGCCCTGGCCCCATCTCTGCCTCCGATGCAGAGCCCTCATCCAGCCCTTCCCCAGCCTCCAGGACTGGCCCATGTTCCTCCCCAGCCTCCTCAGTGTCCAACTCTGCTGCCAGCTCCACAGGCTCCTGGTGGACCACTTCCCTTCCCTTCCCTTCCCTTCCCTTCCCTTCCCTTCCCTTCCCTTCCCTTCCCTTCCCTTCCCTTCCCTTCCCTTCCATTCCATTCCATTCTATTCTATTCTATTCTATTCTATTCTCTCTGGTTTTTAACATGCCCAGGTGTAAAAACCTTGTTTTTTCTCCTCCCCTTTCCACGAGAACCTGGTGGAAGTGTATTATCTGAACCGCCAAAAGTGTGCGAACTTGGGAAACAAAGAGAAAATTTATTTGGGAAGCGAAGAAAAGTGGGAGGATCGGCGTTTGCTGCTTTAAACGGACCCCCTTTCACCGAAAACAGCAATTTTCCTAGAATGGATCGTATTCATCCTGGATATTTCTCTGTGCTGCAATACATAACATTTATTTCTATTTCTGCAGCCAGGAAATTTAAACCCAGGGCATTGACTGTGCTGACCTTTGTACAATTGTTCAAATCCTGCTAAAGGATTCACAGAAGCAGAGCTTAAAAAAAAAAAAATGAAGAATGGAAACCTGATGCTTAAAAAAAAAAAAGGGAGAGAGACAATTTGGATGGTTTAAAGAATGGGCAATCATTCCCACCTGGGGAAATCTATGGATCTTCATAACGGCGGGTCAGACTGGAAGTGTCACAAAATGAATTATTTAAAGCCCGTTTAGTCTCTGCTTTTTTTTTTTTTTTTTGCTTTGGAGAATAGAAGGTTGACCGAGAACAAAAAGCGCCAACTAGGTATTTCTTTTTAAAACAACAATAACCACAAGAACATGCTAATGAAAACGCACAGAATGGCGGGAAATCCCACGGTTTGGAAGAATGGGATGAAAAGCGCAAAAAATGGGCAAACTATTTAAAATCATCATCATCTTTTAACGACCCCATAATCCCCTGAGGAGGGGTAGAATCTGGGCAACTGAACGGAGCTAGCAGAGTATTTTTAATGGCCGGATGCTCTTCCTGTTGCCAGGGCAGAGTTTTGTTCAGGAGATATATTCTCAGTGTTTTTTTATTATTATTATTATTATTATTTATTTTATTTTATTTTATTTTATTTTATTTTATTTTATTATTTTATTTTATTTTATTTTATTTTATTTTATTTTATTTTATTTTATTTTATTTTATTATTTTATTTTATTTTATTTTATTTTATTTATTTTATTTTATTTTATTTTATTTTATTTTATTTATTTATTTTATTATTTATTTTATTTTATTTATTTTATTTTATTTTATTTTATTTTATTATTTATTTATTTATTTATTTATTTATTTATTTATTTATTTATTTGTTTATTTATTTATTTATTTATTTATTTAATATTTTATATCCAATTTATATACCGCCCTTCTCCCTGAGGACTCAGGGCGGTGTACAGCCAAATAAAAACATAAGTTACAAACATTAAAAATAGTATTAAAAGGATATATATAAATTTGGCCCCGTAATTTAAAAACAATAACAAACCAATTTAAAACGTTAAGTGTTGCCCAGAGAGAGAAATATCTGCCCCTACCTAGGATCGAACCCACAGCCTCCTGATTGTGAGGCAAGAGCTCCGCCTCTAGGCCAGCACACTATTTAAAATAATGAACAATAATCCAATGAAAGCTAGAATGGCTAAAATGGCACAGTGTTTATTCATGGCCCTCCCGTGCTGATCAAAGGCATGCACAAAAAAAAAATAATAATAATAAATTGAGAAAAAGGCAGCTCTCCTGTCCCACTTAGCAACTGACATTTAGGCTGTGTTGCTTCCAAATGTCGCGTGGCGATCGAGTCTAGTCGCTCGGAAAGCTTTTGTCCTTTAGGGATTTGTCTACGCTGCTTTTTAAAGTCACTTTAATTGGGCCATGATTGCAGTGAACTCCAGAGTTTAACATTTTCCGCATTCCCTGAATACTGAACCGGGAGCTAAGAAAACAGCCTCAGCTCACCTATCGTTGCCAGAGAGAATTAACTTAAAAGATGAATTCAAGAATATCTGAGATGGGTGCAGAAAACAAGAGGACCGCTAGATGGCCAAAGAGGAGGAGGAGGAGAAATGTTGGTGGTGACTCTGAATGATCACACAGATAGATCCTCCTCAGGACCATCTGTCTCTAACCTCAGAGAAGGAGAAGGAGAAGGAGAAGGAGAAGAAGGAGGAGAAGGAGAAGGAGAAGGAGAAGTAGGAGAAGGAGAAGGAGAAGGAGAAGGAGAGGGAGAGGGAGAAGGAGAAGGAGAAATAGAAGTAGGAGAAGGAGAAGGAGAGGGAGAGGGAGAGGAGAAGGAGAGGGAGAGGGAGAGGGAGAAGGAGAAGGAAAGAAGAAGAAGAAAAGGAGAAAGAGAAGGAGGAGAAGGAGAAGGAGGAGGAGGAGGAGGAGGAGGAGGAGGAGGAGGAGATGATGATATCATATTGATGGTGACTCTTAATGATCACAGAGATAGATCCTCCTCAGGACAATCTCCCTAACCTCAGAGAAAGAGAAGGTGAAGGAGAGGGAGTGGGAGTGGGAGAGGGTGAAGGAGAGATAGAAGGAGGAGGAGGAGGAGGAGGAGGAGGAGGAGGAGGAGGAGGAGGAGGAGGAGAAGAAGAAGAAGAAGAAGAAGATATCATGTTGGTGGTGACTCTCAATGATCACAGAGATAGATCCTCCTCAGGACAATCTTCCTAACCTCAGAGAAAGAGAAGGAGAAGGAGAAGGAGAAGGAGAAGGAGAAGGAGAGAGAGAACGAGAGAGAGAACGAGAAACAGAAGGAAGAGGAGGAGGAGGAGGAGAAGAAGAACAACAACAACAAAACCTCCATCATTCACAAAACAACGGGTGACTCAGGTTACTTTGTCCCATCCCCCGCGGGCTTTGTCTAGATGATCTCTAGACCACCTTACCATAAAGTTCCTAACCCTCGAACGCTCCCCGCCATAATACATTCATCAACCGTTTCAAGGACGGCAACCGAGAAGGGGAAACGAATCACTTATTGCCACATGTTTTTCTCCCCTCTCCCATTTTAATTATTTTTCTGTCCTTTATTAAAAAAAAATAATTAGTCTCAATCAAGGCAAACACACTTCAGAATCACTGCTCATTAGTCACTCTCCCATTTTTGAGTTGCTATAAAAAGTCAAGCGAGCTGATGAAAATTAGGCCCTCGGAATCAGGCGTTTCGGCGTTCGCTTCCTTCCACCGTCATCTGCATCTGTTTATCCCGAGCGCTCGCAATTACAGGCAAAGCACCATGGGATTCAAATCCCAGCCTTGCCACAAAAATCCAATCAAATGGGGCTCTTCTCAGCATCCGCCAAAGATAAGCGAACCCCAGCAATTCCCCCGATGGAAGCTGGAAGACACGGTGATCACTGATTTATTAAATCTATGTGCCGTCCCTCTCGCTGTCCAAAGCGGCTCTCCCAAACTGGGAGACGGTGAGTTCTAGTCTTGCCTTTAAACCATGAAAGCTGGCTGCGGGACGTTGGGCCAATCACCAGGAGACAGGGACTTCTTGTCCTGCTTTAGGCATGAAAGCTGACTGGGTGACTTTGGACCAATCACCAGGAGACAGGGAGTTCTAGTCCTGTTTTAGGCATGAAAGCTGATTGGGTGACTTTGGGCCAATCACCAGGAGACAGGGAGTTCTAGTTCTGCCTAAGGCATGAAAGCTGACTGGGTGACTTTGGGCCAATCACCAGAAGACTATGAGTTCTAGTTCTGCCTAAGGCATGAAAGCTGACTGGGTGACTTTGAGCCAATCACCAGAAGACTATGAGTTCTAGTTCTGCCTAAGGCATGAAAGCTGACTGGGTGACTTTGGGCCAATCACCAGAAGACTATGAGTTCTAGTTCTGCCTAAGGCATGAAAGCTGACTGGGTGACTTTGGGCCAATCACCAGGAGACAGTGAGTTCCAGTCCTGCCTTAGGCATGAAAGCTGACTGGGTGACTTTGGGCCAATCACCAGGAGACAGGGAGTTCTAGTCCTGCCTAAGGCATGAAAGCTAACTGGGTGACTTTGGGCCAATCACCAGGAGACGGTGAGTTCTAGTCCCGCCTTAGACATGAAAGCCGACTGGGTGACTTTGGGCCAATCACCAGGAGAGTGTGAGTTCTAGTCCCATTTTAGGCATGAAAGCTAACTGGGTGACTTTGGGCCAATCACCAGGAGATGGTGAGTTCTAGTCCCGCCTTAGACATGAAAGCCGACTGGGTGACTTTGGGCCAATCACCAGCAGACGGTGAGTTCTAGTCCTGCCTTAGGCATGAAAGCCAATTGGGTGACTTTGGGCCAATCACCAGGAGATGGTGAGTTCTAGTCCCGCCTTAGGCATGAAAGCCAATTGGGTGACTTTGGGCCAATCACCAGCAGACGGTGAGTTCTAGTCCTGCCTTAGGCATGAAAGCCAATTGGGTGACTTTGGGCCAATCACCAGGAGACGGTGAGTTCTAGTCCCGTCTTAGGCATGAAAGCCAGCTGGGTGACTTTGGTTGCTATTTGTGCAATAAAGGGAAATTTCTGGCACACCGTTGCCTTTCGAAAAGGAACAGAAGGGAAAGGCAACCACTGAATTTTTCACGCTTGGCTTTTGCAGAGGTCATTTTCTCTCACCATAAGGGAAATAAGCCCCGTGGCTATTTTGAGGCCTGGCCTCTGTTCATTTTAATAATGCTTAACTGCTGGATTCCATCTTTTTCTTTTATTTAATAAGCAGGCCATCTCGGAAATCTGATTTGTTTGCAAAGCTTTAGCAAAAACCTCAGAGTCAGGACTCCCTTAGAACCATCTCCAGAACCAACTGACAAGATGAAATGGCTTTTGGCAGTTACAATCGTTCCCTGCAGAGATTTAGTTTTGGTCCCCAAATGGGCTGAAACCTATTTGATTCGTACATTTCCTGCACGCAAGGAGATCCGCTCGAGGGATAGACAACATTTGTTATCCTGTTATAATTTGGCAGGAGGAGGAGGAGGAGGCTGGCTTCACCTACTCTGCAACCAGACCAGTAGTGGGTTTCAAAATTTTTTACTACCGGTTCTGTGGCTGTGGCTTGGTGGGCGTGGTATGGCTTGGTGGGCGTGGTTTGGGCGTGGCAAGGGAAGGACACTGCAAAATCTCCATTCCCACCCCACTCCAGGGGAAGGATACTGTAAAACCTCCATTCCCTCCCCAATCCAAGGGAAGGTTACTGCAAAATCCCCATTTCCTCCCGATCAGCTGGGACTTGGGAGGCAGAGAATAGATGGGGGTGGGCCCAGTCAGAATTCTTACTACCGGTTCTCCGAACTACTCAAAATAGATACCCAGATGATGCCAAGTAAAAGGAGAAAAGGGAGAGGGGCGGGGGTAAAAGGGGAAAAAATGAGATATTATAAAAACATACGCAAATGATGAAATAAAAATAAATATTAATCAAATAAGAAATTGAAATGAGAATAAAGATAAATAGAAAAATCGGGGCTGCTCGAATAGATTGAACTGAAAAGGGAAACAACAGGAGGGAGGGGAAGGAGTAGAGAGAGAGAGCGGAAGGGAGAAGAGAGGAGAGGAGAGGGAGAGAAAGAAGAAAGGGAAAAGGAGAGGAAGAAAAGGGAGGGGAAAGAGGAGTAGGAGAGAAAGTTAGAAGGGGGGAAGAAGAGAGGAGTGGGGGAAGGGAAGGGGAAGTAGGAAAAAGAAGGAGAGGAAGAACGAAGGAAGTAGGAGGAGAAAGAGGAAGGAAGAGAGAAAGGTTGGGGGTAAAGGTAAATGGTAAAAGACAGCCCTGAAAAAGAAAAAATGAAAAATGAAAGTTAAAAGATAAGATGAATGAAAAATGATGGATAAGTGACTGTACATGTAAATGTGTTTATGAGAAACAAAAATAAAAAACGTAAAAAAAAAAATCCTCTGCCGGTTCTACAGAACTGGTCAGAACCTGCTGAAGTAGACTCGTGTCTGGTTTAAACCAGAATGTTGCACATAGGATTTCTAAGAGGGGTGGGTGGGTTATTTTGGCCAGACGTTTCCTGCCGGAAGCTAATCAAGGAGAGAAGCACCCTAGAACTAAGGAGAAATTTCCTGACAGTGAGAACAATTCATCAGTGGAACAACTTGCCACCAGAAGTTGTGAATGCTCCAACACTGGAAGTTTTTAAGAAGAGATTGGATAACCATTTGTCTGAAGTGGTGGAGGGTCTCCTGCTTAAGCAGGGGGTTGGACTAGAAGACCTCCAGGGTCCCTTCCAACTCTGTTATTCTATTACGCCAGCGGTTCCGTTCCATTAAAAAGTAGAAATCAACATTGAAAAACCCTTCATCATTGAGTGGGCAATTCAAGGTCTACAGCTACATGGGTTCCTAAGCTATTTCTGTGCTCCTAATTATCTTGCTGCTCTTGTTTTCCCCCTAAAACAAATTGGACTTTTGATTTATTTTGCTCCTTAAATAACACACAATTGGCAAAAGGAAGCCTAGGACCGTACAGGTTGGAAACATGCAGAAGAGGCCTTCATCCTTCAGTAGATAGACCATGGCTAAAATGATGTTGATGATGATATCTATCTATCTATCTATCTATCTATCTATCTATCTATCTATCTATCTATCTATCATCTATCCATCCATCCACCTACCTACCTACCTACCTATCTACCTAACTTCAATCATCTCTGTCTGTCTATCTATCTATCTTCCATCATCCCTCCCTCCATCTACCTATCTACTATACCTACCTACCTAACTTCAATCATCTGTCTGTCTGTCTGTCTGTCTGTCTGTCTGTCTGTCTGTCTTCTATCTATCTATCTATCTATCTATCTATCTATCTATCTATCTATCTTCCATCTATCCATCCATCCATCCATCCATCTACCCTACCTATCTACCTAATTTCTATCATCCATCCATCCACCTCCCTCCCTCCCTAACTTCCATTTGTCTGTCTGTCTGTCTGTCTATCTATCTATCTATCTATCTATCTATCTATCTATCTATCTATCTATCTTCCATTTATCCCTCCCTCCCTCCATCTACCTATCTACCATACCTACCTACCTAACTTCAATCATGTCTGTCTGTCTGTCTGTCTGTCTGTCTGTCTGTCTGTCTGTCTATCTATCTATCTATCTATCTATCTATCTATCTATCTATCTATCTATCCATCCATCCATCCAGTTGGCAAGAATATCAACCATGTTCAAAGTTGACCATGTTCAAATTTGGTTGCAAAAGGCAAAGGCGAGGGCTCTCACAGTTGAAATCCA